CCTTAGGAATTCCTAGGGATCCTTCGGAATTCCTAAGAATCCTTAGGAATACCTAAGAATTCCTAAGAACCAGTAGGAATCCTTAGGATTTCCTGGGAATCCTTCGGAATTCTCACGGATCCTTCGGAATTCTCACGGATCCTTCGGAATTCCTGGGAATCCTTCGGAATTCCTAAGAATCCTTCGGAATTCCTGAGAATCATTCGAAATCCATAAGAATCCTGAAGAATTCCTAGGAATCCTTCGGAATTCCCTGGCATCCTTCGGAATTGCAGAGAATCCTTGGGAATTCCTACGAATCCTTCGGAATTCCTAGGAATCCTTACGAACTCCTAAGAATTCGTAAGAATCCTTGAAATCCTTAGGAATTCCTGGGAACCCTTCGGAATTCTCAGGAATCCTTAGGAATGCATAGGAATCCTTTAGGAATTCCTGTGAATCCGTGGGAATTCCCCGGAATCGTTTGAAATTCCTAGAAATCCTTAGGAATTCCTGGGAATCCTTCGGAATTTCTACGAATCCTTAGGAAGTCTTAGGCATCGTTAGGGATTCCTAGGAATCCTTAAGAATTCCTAGGAATCTTTAAGAATTCCTGTGAACCCTTCGGAATGATTAGGAATCCTTCGGAATATCTTGGAATCCTTCGGACTTCCTAAATATCCTTCGGAATTCCTAGGAATCCTTCGGAATTCCTAAGAATCCTTAGGAATTCTGGTTGTTGTGAGTGTTGTGGGGGGGGGGTGTTGTGGGACACGGGTCGGGGATCCCCGCCCTTACTAACAACAACAACAACAACAACAACAACAACAACAACAACAACAACAACAACAAAAACGACAACAACAACAACAACAACAACAACAACAACAACAACAACAACAACAACAACAACAACAACAACAACATCAGCAACAACAACAACAACAACAATTAATTTTAGACTGTTCGCTCTTACTTGCCCGCGTGCCATGCAACGTGTATACCCACGCCCTCGATACCCGCCCCCTTCGTCTTCGAGCGTACCCCCTTCTGGGGGGATTTTTTTTTTTTGCGGGGGCGGGCGGGCGTAGACAAGCGGGCGTGAACGGGCGGGGAATTATTCGGAGGATGGGGCACGCATCTCTTTGCCCACCATTGGAATTAGCGCGGGCCCTGCAAGAAGAGGAAGGGGGAGAACGAGGGAGAGTGGGAGGAAGGGAGGGGGAGGGACGAGGCTAAAGGGGAACACGCCAGGAGAGAGGGGGCGAGGAGGGGGGGGGGACGATTGGAGATAGAGAGACAGAGGAGGGAGGAAGGAGGAGGCTGGAGAGGGGAGGGCGAAGAGAGGAGGGAGGAGGGTTAGGGGAGGAGGGTGAGGGGAGAGAGGAAGAGGGAGGAGGAGGGTGAATATGAAAGAGAGAGGGGGGGGAGGAGGGGGGTTGGATGGGGAGGAAGGGGCAGGAGGGTAAGAGTGTGAACGTTCGAGGAAGTCCTAGGCGAGGGCGTATTCCTCAAGGAAGAGCTGGGCGGGAGCGGGGGTCCCGAGTACATTGTCGGACGTCTCAGGCGGGAACGCCGGTCGGGCGGGCGGACCCTCACGGGCGGGTCGGGCGGGCGGAACATTCAAACTGGATTTTTGCGTAATTTGCGAGGAAGTATTAAGCGAGAGCGCGATTCCTACCTAAATTGCGAGGGCGTCCTTGGCGCGAGCGTGGTTCCTGAGCGTCGAGAACGCGATGCTGCAATAAATTGCGAGGAGGTCCTAAGCGAGAGCGCCATTCCTGAGTAAATTATGAAGAAGTCTCGGGCGGGAGCAGGGGTCCTGATTAAGGAAGTCTCAAGCGGGAGCGCCGCTTCTGAGTAAAATGCGAAAAAGTCTGAAGCGGGAGTGCCCTGCCAGAGAAAATTTTGAGGAAGTCGCAAGCGGGAGCGGGGGTCCTGAGTAAATTGTGAGGAAGTCTCAGGCGGGAGCCGTTGTTGTTCTAGTCCAGGGCCCAACAACGCAATCTGATCCGCAAGGCTTTCCCTGTCAAAAAACAGGGTGCGAGCCCCGGAGGAAGCACTTCAATTGAAAAAAACCGGGCACCGGACAGGGGGGATCAATAACAATTATTCTTCAGAAATGAGAATTCAACAACAACAACAACAGCAACAACAACAACAACAACAACAACAACAATTACTCCGACGGAAGGACCCCACATGAGAATCCTCTGGGCGAATCTGGAGAAAAAAAAAACCTCACCGTCGTCCTCGTGGTTGGTGGGGCGTTCTGGGTGTCTCTTCTGCGTATATTTCTTCTCGCCCTGGCGCGGGCCCTCCCCCCGCTCCCTACGTTGCCTTCGACCTCGCCCTCCTGTTTTGGCTCCAAAAGAAAGTGGCCCGGGAGTGGTGTTCTGGGAACACGAAGAACACGAAGTGGCCTACAGTTGGCTCCGGGCATTCAAAATGTGGCCCGGGAATGGAGTTCTGGGAACTCGAAGAACACGAAGTGGCCTACAGTTGGCTCCGGGCATTCAAAATGTGGCCTGGGAATGGCGTTCTGGCACCGCGAGAGCCCAAAAGTGGCGACGGTTACAAGAATTGAACGACCCGCTCGGATTAGTAACATGATCCGCGGGCCCCATAGGGAGGGGGCTCAAGCTCGAGATTTCCTCGCAATTCACTCACAAATCTGGCCTGGGAATGGCGTCCTGGCAGCGCGAGAGCCAAAAAAAACTACAGTTATAGGAATTGGATGACCCGCTCGGATTAATAACATGATCCGCGGGCCCCATAGGGAGGGGGCTCCCGCTTGAGACTTCCCCGCAATTCACTCACAGATGTGGCCTGGGAATGGCGTTCTGGCAGCGCGAGAGCCCAAAAGTGGCGACAATTACAAGAATTGGATGACCCGCTCGGATTAATAACATGATCCGCGGGCCCCATAGGCAGAGGGCTCCCGCTTGAGACTTCCTCGCAATTCATTCACAGACGATGCCCAAGGCGAGTGAGTGAATGAGTGAGTGAGTGACTGACTGACTGGTGATGATGCTGATCATCACACTCTCTCACGCGCACACTCATCATCATATGTGAGTGCTGACGAGTGAGTGAGTGAGTGAGTGAGTGAGTGAGTGAGTGAGTGGGTGAGTGTGTGAGGGATGATGAGTGAGTGAGTGAGTGAGTAATGATGATGATGGTGGGGTCCTGTTCCTGCGCGGGGTGTCCAGAGAAAACAAAAACCCCACTTTGGATGTGGGGAACAACAACAACAGCAACAACAACAACAGCAACAACAACAACAACAACAACAACAACAACCACAACCACAACCACAACCACAACCACAACCACAACCACAACCACAACCACAACCACAACCACAACCACAACCACAACCACGACGACGACGACGACGACGACGACGACGACAACGACAACACAAAACAAGACAAAACAAAACAAAAGTATCCAGGCAAAGCAACCTAACAGCGATGTGTAGGAGCATATCTGGAAGCATTCCCCTTAAGATTTAGATGAGAATCCAGTTGTAGAATTCTGCTGTTCTCGCAGTCGCAGTCGCATTCGCGATGACAGTCGCAGTGGCAACGGCAGTCGCAGTCACAGCCTCAGCCTCAGCCTGCCTCAGCCTCAGCCTCAGCCTGCCTCAGCCTCAGCCTGCCTCAGCCTCAGCCTCAGCCTGCTTCAGCCTCAGCCTCAGTCTGCCTTCAGCCTCGGCCTCAGCCTCAGCCTGCCTCAGCCTCAGCCTGCATCAGCCTCAGCCTCAGCCTCAGCCTGCCTCAGCATCAGCCTCAGCCTCAGCCTCAGCCTCAGCCTCAGCCTCAGCCTCAGCCTGCCTCAGCCTCAGCCTGCCTCATCAGCCTCAGCCTCAGCCTCAGCCTGCTTCAGCATCAGCCTGCCTCAGCCTCAGCCTCAGCCTGCCTCAGCCTCAGCCTCAGCCTGCTTCAGCCTCAGCCTCAGTCTGCCTTCAGCCTCGGCCTCAGCCTCAGCCTGCCTCAGCCTCAGCCTGCATCAGCCTCAGCCTCAGCCTCAGCCTGCCTCAGCATCAGCCTGCCTCAGCCTCAGCCTCAGCCTGCCTCAGCCTCAGCCTCAGCCTGCTTCAGCCTCAGCCTCAGTCTGCCTTCAGCCTCGGCCTCAGCCTCAGCCTGCCTCAGCCTCAGCCTGCATCAGCCTCAGCCTCAGCCTCAGCCTGCCTCAGCCTCAGCCTCAGCCTGCCTCAGCCTCAGCCTCAGCCTCAGCCTCAGCCTCAGCCTCAGCCTCAGCCTCAGCCTCACCTGCCTCAGCCTCAGCCTCAGCCTGCTTCAGCCTCAGCCTCAGCCTCAGCCTCAGCCTTCAGCCTCGGCCTCAGCTTCAGCCTGCCTCAGCCTCAGCCTGCCTCAGCCTCAGCATTCAAAATGTGGCCCGGGAATGGAGTTCTGGGAACTCGAAGATCACGAAGTGGCCTACAGTTGGCTCCGGGCATTCAAAATGTGGCCCGGGAATGGAGTTCTGGGAACTCGAAGACCACGAAGTGGCCTACAGTTGGCTCCGGGCATTCAAAATCATGCCCAGGAATGGAGTTCTGGGAACTCGAAGACCACGAAGTGCGTTACTGTTTGCTAAAAAGGAGTCCCCGGCATCCTCCCCCGGATCGCGCCCAGACCCCCCTGGGGCGTCATGATGCTCTCTTTTGACCCTACTGGAAGCCTATCAGTCTTCGCTGTCGGGTAACAAAACGAAAAAAACGGGGGACTACAAAAAATGGGAGGGAGAGGCGGTCCCCGCGCAGGAGAGCATGCAGGGGGGAGACGAAAGAAGCACTCCGACTTTTAGCAGTGGTTGTGCTGGTAGCGGGGGGGGAAGAGAGAGAGAGAGAGAGAGAAGCCGGGGGGGGGAGGAGCGCCAGAACGGGAGGGACGAAAAGCAGGGCGGGAGGTGGAGAGCGGGAGGGCCGGACGGGGGAGGAAGACAAGCGGGAGGGCGAGTGATGGGAACGCTCCCGTGCGACGCCGCCGCCGTTTCTCGCGCCTCACCTCAGGGCCGCCCGCCCCAGCTCGGCGGTGAAAGAGGGGGGGAGTCGACGTGAGCAGGGGCGGCACTTCTCAGAGGGCTCGGAAGTTCTCTAAGCCTTCCCCGAAGGCACAAAGACTTCTCGGAAGGCGCGAGGGCTTCTGAGGAATCCCGCCACCATCTGAGAAGGCCCTCTCCGTCTCGCTTCTCCCCCTCGCTCGCCGCCGACCATCACCCCATCGGCCCGAAAGCGACGATGGCCCGCACTTCGGAGGATCGGGGCACGCCAACTATCCTGGCCAGGCCCATCCTGGGCCCAGGGGTCGGTGCACAACGGCATCCCCGTGGACAAGTGGGTCGGCCGAGTGGCCCAACGATCCGATCATCCAGCAGTCCAGGTATCTGACCCGGAGATCTGGAAATCCAGGCTGATCCACTGATCCGGTGACCCGGCCGCCTAACACGGTGATCCGACAGTCTCGCCGTCGGATCCGACGATCTCAATCCGCCACCGTGCCTCGAGACACCAGTGGCTTCGCTGGGCCGGTGTTTCACCCCGTTCTGGTTTTTAGGATGGCACTTTGCAATGTGCGTGCGCGATTTTTTTTTTATTAACAAAAAAAAAAAAAAAAAGTTGGAGTGCCCTGAGGTCCTGTGGATATCGAGTCCTCGGTCCTGGCAAGCTGCGTAGCGAGGGGGCCCGAGCCCCAGATCGTCGGACTGCCTGCGGGGTGCCGTGTCCCCGCGTGCCTGGGGCTTCCCGCCTGACCCTCTCTTGAGGCCAGGAGGCCCCCAGACGGCCCAAGAGGGCCCCGAGGGCCCTCCCAGCGAGAGGCCCCCGGGACAGGCCAAGCCCGAGACGGCCCCACGGCGGCCCGGGAAGCACCCAAAGACGCCCAGAGAGAGATCCAAGAGGACCCCACCCACGAGGTCCCCAAGATTTGGCAGGATTGTGCCTTTGTCGGGAATGGACAACCCCCCCTTTAGTAAAACGTGGTTTAGTGAAAACGATCTCGGGCCCAAACCTGGCGTGCGCATGCCTGGAAAATGACGGCCGCGACGCCCTCTCGAGAACCGAAAACGGACAATTCGCTAATCGACGTGTCAGGGTAGGTCTGTCCAACCCCGACGCTCCAAGACGGCCCAAGACGGCCCACCACGAAATCGCCCCAGGCGGCCCCAGAGGCCCCTCCGAGGAGGTCCGAAGGCGGCACAAGAGAGAGCCCCCAAGGCGGCCCACGAGGCCCCCAAGAGGAGCCCAAGAGGACCCCAAGAGGAGCCCAAGAGAGGGAACACGAACTGACATTTCGAGGACCCTGTTTTACAGTTTCGCCGTCCCCACGAGTGGGGCGCGATGCTTTCGGGCGTCCGATCGGACCTTTACCTTTGCCTTGGCCCCAATATGAACCCCCGATACCGACAGGCATTCAGAAGCCTGGGACCTAAAACGCAAGCGCGGAGGCGGGATGGGCTCAAGAACGTATCTGGCCGCCTGGTCCAACGGTCTGGCGAAGTAGTGGCCCATCCGCTTGATCCAATCATCTGGCAATCCATCCGCCTGGTCAAATGATCCCGAGACCTGGCCGCTTGATCCGGCCGCCAGGTGATCCGATCCGGCAGCCTGTTCTGGTGATCTGGTGATCCAGTTGGGCGAATCATGCACTGACCCAGGGCTCCAGTGATCTGGCCAGGGGCCAGGACCAGCGAGGTGCACAGTTGACATCCCCCGAGAGGACCTCGACAATCGGGCACCGCTGCCGCCGCCGAAGCACAGCACCAAGGAACCCGCACGACGGCGGCTCACGGCAGCCGGCGCGAGAGCACGGCCACGAGCTCCGCATGTCTGCAGCGGGGTTCCTCGCATGTCGCGGGCTTCTTCACAAGCGTTTGTCCAACGGATGCTTACAATTCCGACGTCCGCAGACGTGGAAAAAATCCCCCCCAAAAAAACGGTGGCAAAACAACAGCAGCAACACCAATCAATTTGAGACGGGTCGCCCATCATTGCTCGCGAAGCATCGAGCATGCACACTCCAACCACATGGCAACCGCCCTGGCTGCCTATGAACGAACCTGTCAATCATGGCCGGCGGCATGTGCGCAGCCCAGGGGAGGGGGGCAGGGACGCACTGAAATAAAAGAAGCGCCACGAAATCTGGGGAAAATCATGGCCCACGACATGATTTCCACCCCCCCCTAGTCATCACCCCCCTCTTTGCCGCCCCCGAGGCTACTGGGCTACTACCGACAAGGTGAAACAGGCGAGCCGGGCGGGCGGACCCCAACGGGCGGGTAGAGCAGGCGGAACTTCCAGGGGGTCGGGCGAGCGGATCCTGACGGGCGAGGCAGGCGGGCGGGCAGGCTTCCACGCAAGCGAAAGGGCGGACCATGGCGAACCCTAACGTTAGGTCGGGCATGTCCCCCCAGACGCGGATTTTGGGCAAAAATTGAAAATAGTCAAACAACCAAACAAATATTAAACATAGCCAAAAAAAATCGCCCCCTCACGATTTCTTGCCTATTTTTGAATTGTCCTCCTGTAGAGGGACAGGCCCGACTTAACCTTAATGAACGGGTCGGACAGGCGGGACATTTCGTCGGGCGGGTCGAGCAGGCGGAACCTAGCGGGCAGGACACTCAAACGGGCGGGCGGGACACTCAAACTTCCAAGCAAGACCCTCACGGGCGGGTCGACCGGCGGACCCCAACGGGCAGCGGGGAGGTGGTGCCCCCCATGTCCACCGACCTCAGCAAGCGCCCGAGGGGCCCGTGCCCGCTGGCGCTGATGGACTGCACATGGCGGCCAGCGACGAGTACCGTCAGCCCGTGCCGGCACCAAGCGGGGAGGGCCCACCGGCGCAAGACCTCCCGCAGCCGTTGCATGGAGAGCTTCGCGCAAGCCTCGTTCTGGTCTGAGAACGGCGTTCGATGGCCAGGGCGAAAGGTGGGCAGAGGCAAGATTTTGATATTGGCCTCGACGCCCTCGAGGTCTTCCGCGAGTAGAGCGGTCCATGCCGGTCCAGCGTCAGGCGGGCATGTCCTCCTACAGACGGATTTCTGACAAACTCACAAATAAACAATCAAACAAATCGTCCCCTGACTATTGTTTACTATCTTTGAATATTCCTCCTGTGCAGTTAAGTCGGGCGTGTCACTCTACAGGGGGAATATTCAAAAATAGTCCAAAAAATAATATGGGGACGATTTTTCGTCCAAGATCCCCCTGTAGGGGGACACGCCCGACCTAATTGTAGAGGGACACGCCCGACTCAAGTCCAGCGCCAGGGCCAGGCACTTCCTCAAGAAGCGCGGTGGCGCGAGTGATGCTGTGGGCCCGCGCAATGCCCGCCCTCCATGGCAGCCTGGTCGCGAGAGATAGACGCGGGCTCCAGCACCCAGCCGACGGCGTCGTGGCGGCGAGCGAGGGGGGGAGAAAGGAGGAGGAGAAGGCCTCCTCAGAAGGCGGCGGGACTTCGCAGAAGCCCTCGCGCCTTCTGAGCGGAATTCTTCTGTGTCTTCGGGGAAGGCTTAGGAAACTTCTCCAAGGCCGGGGGGGGGGCTTCTGCGACTTCTGGGAAGGGCCGCCCCGTCTCACTGCCCCCCCCCCCTCGCTCGCCGCCGAGCGTCGGCGACGACCGCCCCGAAGAGCCGGCGGCAGCACGCGGGGAGCTGCAGAGGCCGCAGGTCCCCTGGAGCTTCGGCGACGGGGCTCTTCGAGATCCAGGCGAGCAGGCCGACGGGCGAGCCAGGAACGCGCCCGAGCAGGCACGGGGAGCCGCGGCGGAGCATGCTGCCTGCCCGGGGAAGCACGCCACGAGACGACGGCCCGTGTGATGCACCTCGCGAGGCTCGTGACGCCACCCACACCAGGGGGCGCCGCCAGCTGGTTGCAGCACGAGGGTCGCGACCCCTTGCCAGGCGGGCTCGGGTAGCGGAGGAAGACCGGGAGGCTGCCGCTCGCGAAAGCAGGCGTCGAGCAGGCGGCATCGTCTGGCGTCAGGCCGATCGGGGACGGAAGCCTCCTCAACTTTTGTGGGCCTGGCGTGCCTGACGGGAACGAAGAATCGCACAAACATAAAAACTCGGAGGTCCGCGCGGAGTTCTCGGATCCGCGCTGGACCCCACTCCCCCGCGCGCGGAGCGCGCCAGGGGCGGCGCCAGAGGCGCCGCCAGGGGGGCGGATGCGCGCGGACCTCCGAGTTGTTATATTATGTTATGCCGCTATTTATTATATTGCACCGTTTCTCTAGAGCTCCGACCACTTTATTTCGGCACGGCACCCCATCCATCACCCACACATTCCACCAGCCAGCGCGCCTCTCCGCCCCGACCCCATTTCCTTCGGCACGGCACACCCCTCCGCTCCGACCCCTTTATTTCGGCACGGCACACCCCCTCCGCATCCCCCCAACCACCAGCCAGCGCGCCCCTCCGCCCCGACCCTTTATTTCCAAACGGCAGCGGGTTGCGCCAGCATCCCAGCAGCCCGGGCAGCGGCTTTAACAGAGCCAGGCGCAGAGTTTGGAGAGGCATCACGGTGAATGCCAACAGTTATGGGACCTTCGAGTCCCTTCTTTCCCGCAGAGACCTTCGGTCGTGCGACTTTGTCGGTGTCCAGGAGACCCACCAGTCGCAGGCCCAGGCTGCTGCGGCGGCCGCTCAGCTGGGCAAGCTGGGTTGGCACGCCCTCGCGAGGGCCGCTGAAGGCGCTGAGGCCGTGGGATGCCACGGCCACGGGGGCCTCCTGCAGCTCGCGCCGCGCCACTGGGGCATGGCGCCGTTCGAGCACATCGGGATTGACTCCGGCGAGCTCGTGCCTGGCCGCCTCGCGGTGGTCCACCACGCCGGCCTAGTCCCGGGCGGCTTCGCGTGGTTCAACGTCTACCTCGTCTGTGGCGAGGGCATGTCCGCCGCCAACGTGGCGCTGCTGGACATCGTGGCCAAGGTTGCCGCCACGCTGGGCAAGCCCTTCATCGTTTCGGGCGACTTCAACCTCAGCCCCGCCGATATGCAGCAGAGCAGGCTGGTGCATCAGCTGCAGGCCTGCGTTCTCGCTCCCAGCATTGGCACCTGCAGGCCCGCCGACAG